GGCCCTGGCTGGGCCAGGGCCCCACGGCACACACAGCCGTCCTCACGCCAACCCCACACGAGTCTCTCTGGACAGAGGGGATGGGGTTTGGGGGGGCACAAGGGGCTGGGAAACTGTGGGCTCCCCGACCAGGGAACTGCTCGCAGGAACCACGGCGCTCAATCTGCCGCAGCCCTTCCTGAGGAATCCTTCACGCCAACCCCACACGAGTCTCTCTGGACAGAGGGGATGGGGTTTGGGGGGGCACAAGGGGCTGGGAAACTGTGGGCTCCCCGACCAGGGAACTGCTCGCAGGAACCACGGCGCTCAATCTGCCGCAGCCCTTCCTGAGGAATCCTCCTTCCGGGGCCTGTGCACCCACAAACGCCCGGATGTTACCTTGAGGTTGGGCCACAGAATTAGCAAGTGTTACACTGTTTACCATGTGGTGGGCCACGGAATTAGCAAGTGTTACATTGTTACCATGCAGTCGGGCCAGGAAGGCTGTCTGCACAGCATAGCATTGTTTTCCAGTCCACGGGAGGGTGTGGGCGGTTATGTGCGAACGCGTGGGGACTTTACAAGAGGGACCCGAGCTCCGAGGATTGTGGCACCTGAGGGGGTCGTGGAACCCATTGCTCATGGACACGGGGGGACCATGTACAGACGGAGGTGCGCACGCCATATGCTCAGAGACACAGGCAGCACGCACACGCCCCTGCAGACACACAGACAGACACAGCTGCACACACTCAGAGACAGAGACTGACTCACCTGCACACACACACACACACACAGACACACCTGTACACACACACAGACACACCTGCACACACACAGACACAAGTGCACACACACAGACACACCTGCACACACACACAGACACACCTGCACACACACACAGACACACCTGCACACACACACCTGCACACACACACACACCTGCACACACACACACCTGCACACACACACACACCTGCACACACACACACCTGCACACACACACACACCTGCACACACACACACCTGCACACACACACACACCTGCACACACACACACCTGCACACACACACACACCTGCACACACACACACCTGCACACACACACACACCTGCACACACACACACCTGCACACACACACACACCTGCACACACACACACCTGCACACACACACACACCTGCACACACACACACCTGCACACACACACACACCTGCACACACACACACCCGCACAGTGCGCGGTCCTGGAAGCCCGAGACGTCCTCGATGACCTCCGGGAGGTCGAACACGGTCACCTTCAGGCCGGGGTACGCCCGGGCGAGCTCGTGGGCGAGGGTTCCCGTGCAGCCTGCGGGATGGACACGCGCACACACACACACGCTCTATCACCGGACCGGACCGTCCTGGCACCGGCACCCGCAGTGAGACTCCCAAGTCCGGCCTCTGCAAATCCAATGCTCTGAACCGCGGGTCCCGGGAGGTCGAACACGGTCACCTTCAGGCCGGGGTACGCCCGGGCGAGCTCGTGGGCGAGGGTTCCCGTGCAGCCTGCGGGATGGACACGCGCACACACACACACGCTCTATCACCGGACCGGACCGTCCTGGCACCGGCACCCGCAGTGAGACTCCCAAGTCCGGCCTCTGCAAATCCAATGCTCTGAACCGCGGGTCGAGGCCGGCGCCGTGAGCGACAGAAAAAAGAATGCAAGCTGGCGAGTGACCCGGGTGCGGGGTGGGGGGCGGGCACGGGCGCCGGGGAAATCCTCAGGGCAGAGCTGTGGGGGCTGCCACCTTCCCCTCTCCTTCCTGCCGTGGGATGCAGACGCGATGGCCGGCGCCACAGCAGCCGCTCTGGGCCACCAAACGGGGTGTGTGTGCAGAGGAGGGGAAATGGAAGGTGGGGGGGCAATGGAGGTCTTGCCCCCCAGCCTGTGTTGTCAGTTTGGGTCAAATAAACTCATAAAAATGCTCAAAAGAAAAAAAAAAGAATGTAAGGCGTCCTCTTGGGACCCCGATCCCATGACACCCCTCCCCCAGCCAGCCGGCCGGGGTGGCTCCTATGAACCAGGAGGTCAGGGTTCGATTCCCGATCAGGGGCACAGGCCCGGGTTGCGGGCTCCATCCCCAGTGGGGGGCGTGCAGGAGGCGGCCGGTCCGTGATTCTCTCTCCTCATGGATGTTTCTCTCTCTCCCTCTCCCTTCCC